AGTTAAGGGACAGTAGGACCGTTTCAAACCCAAAAAAACGTTCCCAACAGAATCAGCTTTCAGAAACAACTCGGACAGAGAAAGTCTTCAGGTCAAAAAACAGCACATCGTAAGCAGAATAAAAACGCAAAACACGCCCCTTTTCCCCCCCCTCCCCGTCCCACAGTGGTGCTTCTTCCAGCTTCGTCACCACCACCATCTTTAGGTTTTATTAAAGAACACTTTAGGGGTTCACGTCATAAAATCGTTGGGGGGTTGTACAATGCGGAGAAATCAAAGTGGAGATCTTTGGTTTTCACTGTTGAGGTTTTTTTTTCTTTAGCAGTAAAATCTATCTTTGCTGTCCTCTTAACCTTTGGATTTAAGCTGCATTGTAGAAAAAATAGAAAGGAACATTTTTTAACTTTCTCCTCGATAAATCAACATGAACACGGGCCAAACGATACGGACTGAAGTTATTCTCTCATTAGTTCTCTCTGTAGCTAGAACGTCATGGTGATGGTTGCAGTAAAATGAACATTCACAGAAGAACCACAGTAGAAAACGCAGAGTGGATCTGTGTTTCTACCAACAGCAGGCCTTCGTTTCCTTTAATTCATCACTAACAATGTCTATTTACATGTGGAACGGCGTGTTTGTGGCGCAGCGCCTCTCTGTGGCAGTTTTAACTTTGGTATCATTCTCGGTCACCGCCACAAACAAGTCCGACTACACAGGCACACAAACGGACGGAGCTGCGCTGCTGCTGGAGCCGAAAGAAAACACAGAAACCTGTATTTGGTGGGAATCTGCTCAGGTTTCAGATCCACGGAGGACCCAAGCGCCTCCAGCAGACGAGCGACACTCAGAAGGAAAATTAATACTTTAAATCCAAACAGTGATGAGAAGACACACACAGCGGACCCTCAGCACCTCAGTGAAAATGGAGGTTAAAGCCTTTAAACGGTTCCTTCATGAGCCGCTTTCTCATCCCTCTCTCCTGAGTTCAGACACGTTTTAGTTTTCATCTTTAAAGCTTGAAAGTCTATTTGGTTTCTTTTTCATCAGAGGTATTTGTTCGAGTCCTGATCCCACGGCGGGACGAAGGGGAATCGGAAAGCTTCGTGGAGAACGGAGGCGATGTAAATGGAGGAAATTCTCTCTGGATTTAAATCAACTTAAAGGATAAAGGAACTTCTTAAACGTGTCAAAAACCGATGGATTCATCTTCACAGTCTGAGAACTGACAGCTCACTTTGTGCTGCTTTACAGAAAAGAATTACAGCTGTTTAAAAGAGCATCCAGTCTTTTTAAAGCTAGTTTATAACTTTAAGTCATTAAATCTGAAAACAAATAAGAGATTTTAAATCAAACTAGGAGGTTTTAACATCCATCTGCTGCTCTGATTGGCTGGTTTGTTATTTAAAATGATAAAGTTTGATGGATAAACTCATATTTGTCTGAATTCCTCCTTTACATTTCTCCCCCCCCTTCGCTCTCCATCCGTTTCCAACAGTCACTAAAGTTTGTTTTGGTTTGAAACACTAGTTCGGCGTCTGAAGAACACCTCTCTGCAAGTACAGCCTCACACAAACCCCTGAAAACGAGTACAAAGATCAAGAAAGACTTAAATAGAATCCAATAAATACATAAATAATCAATAAATAAACAAAGGGAGGGACAGAGAGGTTCATAAAATACATTACACTATTCTTCCCTAAAACCCCCACCCCCCCCCAAAAAAAGCACACATCTCCCTCATACAATAAATACAAATATTTTTTTTTTTCCAACAAAGAACACATGAGAGAGGAAAAAGTTTTAAAGCTTTTGGTTCAGAAATCGTCGTCTTCGGTTATTTTTATCGGAGGATAAAAGTCCCAGCGTCGGTAGAAATGAGAGTCAAATTAAAAATAAAATAAAGGTTGACGTCCCGCTAAGAGGAAGCCAACCTGTCCAAACCCCCCCATCGGTACCATCCTCATCATCGGCTGCCTTCATCTCCATGTGTCTTTAAAATGAAAGGTGTCGCTGGTTTCAACACTGGACTTGTTCTCTTGTGTCATCAGAGTAGTTCTTAATTCAATTATGACAATCTTTATTTATCGTTTTAAATGTTTACAGGTTAGTACCGAGATATTCTGAGGTTTTAAACATCTACGGTGTTATCGTTAGAGTCCTTTTAATGCCAGAGAAAGCAAAAGTTGGCCTCTCTCACTTGTTGCTGCACACTGTCAGCCAGCTGGCTGAAAGAAGACGACTAAAAACAAACTTTAGGCCGTCTGGAAATAATTCTGGTTTAAAAAGAAAACAAAGATGTGAAGTTAAGAATTAATGCACTATATTGATATCCGCTTTATTAAACAGGCTTTGATCTATGGAGAAAAGGGGCAAACTGATTATATAACCTTAAAAGATTATATAACCTAAGTAAATCCACCTGTATATAAGCCATCCGGATTGTACATATTTTTATTATTTTTTATCTTTTATTTCTTTATTTCTTGTTTTTATTTTGTTTTTCATTGTGTGCGATACAGGTACACTTGCACCTTAATCCTTATTTACCAGAGATGGCAAAAGTACTCACTTTCCGTACTTGAGTAAAAGTACAGATACTTGTGTTAAAAAATACTCTGGTAAAAGTGGAAGTACTGAT